CGGAAATATCATATTTTACTGTAAAGAGATAAGTAAAAATGGATTATACTTAAATGTACTACGCTAACATTAATATGGAGAAAAGTGATGAATTGAGCTCTGTAATATCACATTAGAGCGTATATATAAAGAAATTCGTAAGAAAAGCCATCCCGGACACGGGCCTTCTTATAATATATTAAATTCAATCTGCTGCATCACGGTGGTTTCCCATCGATAACTGTCAATAATAAATCCTCTGTAAATCTGTTTGAGCTGTAAAATCGGTTGGCTGTCTATTGCACCGTTAAACTGCTACGCGGTGAAAAATATATTATAATATGTTCGTACGTCATCCTGGGCGTTTCTGTGCGTGTCACCCAGTCGTGTGACGTAATTAATAAAGTAAATATAATCCTCTGTAAGAATATAATATCGTTGTAAATATCTGTAGTCTGTATAACACTGTATAGCATCAAATAAAACAACAAGTTATCCTGACTCGCGGAATAATCAGTACGAGGTGGGATGGCTGTGTCCACTTGCGACGGTTATTTGCGGTTTCTTTCATCTTTTTCTTTTGTGTTTCTTCTTCTGTTTAAGGAATATTTCTCGCTTTTTCTTACGACGAATAGGCACGGCACCTTTTGCGAGTTGTTCTTTAAGAACTATTATTTCGTATCGATTATCAGAAGACGTTGCGAAGAGTTTGTTTCATTTTACAAATTGCTGCGTGGACAGCTTGAACGTAACTTCGGCGAATCGTCAATAGCATATAGTGTTTCTATTTCAGTTGCAATCTGTTTGTAATTTAAGGATCTGGACATTAAAGCGAGTCTTTACAATCTTATGGGCAAGAAAAAAGAATTTCATACTCGTTTGTAACGAAAAATACAAATGATTGAGCAGTTACTGTTACTAAAAATAGTCAGATAAAAATTGTCTAACGCGCTGTCCATCGCAGCAAGAGTCGTTAATCTCTCCGCGACGTCTTGGTCGTTCTCCAAAAGACTATTTAAAACTTCACTTGGAGTTTATGGTTGCCAGAATTAACTGGCATTAAGTCTACTCAACCAAAAAATTATCACAAATGGCCCGAAGAAACTAAGGCGCATTAGTGGTATGCAGCGTCGAACTGCTGCATCATGCTGCTCTGAAAGTGCTTTGATTCAGCATTGGTCTGGTTGACCTCGTAAGCATCGTCTTGGAATACTCTTGATTTATTTTCCAAAGTAACCGTGGCTGTGCCCTCGTCCAGGGTGACTCGGGGCGCGGAGAACGACTTAACAGCGTTGTCTGTCTGAATCTGTAGATGGGTCGTCTGCGCTCCGGTCGGTTGTTGCGTCTTCGGCTGTTGCTGCTGGTAGATCTCTTCCTGACGATGCCTGTCTGCCACGCTGAGCTCGTGGAAGCTGACGAGGTGTCTCTTCAGGTAGAGCTTGGTCTTGAATGGCTTGTTACAGAGGGGGCATGTGACACTCTGAGGGTTGTGGATCAGGCGCATGTGCTGACGCAGGTTCGACAAGTTACTGTACATGCGGTTGCAGACAGGACAGGGGCGCGGGTCCAGCGAGTGCAGTTTGCGTAGGTCAGCTGCAACACACACACAACTTGCTCTAACCCGGTAGAGGCAGCACGGAGAAGGGAGTTAATTTTGTCTTTTTTTTTTTTTATTTCATTGAATGGATTCATGGGTGGGGTCTCCGATTTGCCAGCCACCACCGGACAGCAACAACCAGCTAAGAAACCCTAGCCACACGACCTTCGTATGCTCTGCCTAATCTAGCAATGGGATCAACTTCTAAGTTTCAAATTTACTCAATTCTTTATATTAACAACTTTTGCATTTATGATTTAAATGAACATAACATTTATCTATTTATTTATGAAACTTTTTTTTGATCAAACAGTTATAATTTGTTCATGTGGTACTTTTAAATCAAAGCAAGACTGCCACGTTCTATAAAAGTAAAAAGCAAAAATAATATCTGCTGATCCCATTGCTGTTTGTCGTGTGTACAACGATATCGCGCGTTTATAACGCGCACACATCGGAGACAAATGGTAAGCGTATGTTATTGGGACATGAGGCGTGAGAGCTCGCGCTGCATCCTCCGAGATTATTATACAATTGTGTCTTGACAACAACACCCTTTCACGTTTACAAATTTGATTCCAATTAACACATAAATCTTTTTCGTTTCTAATGATATGCATAGTTATTGCTCTGAACATAATAAAACAGAAATGAACACACACGATTATTTTTTCTAACTCTGTTATGCAGATGTTTATATTTTATTTGTTCGTTTAGTTTTATAATAAAATAATATTAACAACTGTTTTCGATAACAAAATTAAAAATTAACAGAACAACGAAACCATATGAAAAATAAAACCCCAAATTTTTAGGCCTTTTAAATATGATAACTCTTGAACTGCCACATGATATGATTAGTGAAGCAAAAATATTAATCTGTTCTTTGTTTAATTACAACACCATGATTAAACATTGACCGTAACCAAAAAGCTCGTAACAAAATTTAGCGTAAAGCAACGAGAAATTTCGCTATATTTCAAGTCTGGGTGTTCCGCCAAAGGATATGTATGAATATAGATAAAAACAACGCCAATTAGACAAAATACTAAATAATTGTAATCCAAAATAAAAGACTGATACTCCAAAACGAGGGATGCGTCAACGAACGTGCCGCTTCAAAGATGTTAAAAATGCAAAGTTATTCGACATTTTCAATTGGCGTAGCTTCCAAAGGAGAATAACGGAAATCGTAAAAAGCAACAGGCAGGTTGTTTTACCAGGCGGAGGGATTTATTTCTCTAAATAAAATATTACAAATTATACTATTTCCCTCCCACTGTTTAAATATCTTATTGATCGGTGGTACTCACGAGACTTTGCATTCTCAAATAATAAACTTAACAGAAAAAATAAATGATAATTCATAAATAAACGAATAATAAGTAAACGCGATGTATATAAAATCTGTTTATGAAAATTATTTCGTTCTCGGCATCACCTCCAACTCTGGCAAACAATATAAACAGGTAGAGAGCCCGAGTATGTACACGCAGCTGACTTTCTCACACAACAGCCGCAAACTGCACTCTCCTGGATAAAATCAGAAAATTGCCTCCGAGTGTCAAATGTCTCTTCTCTTCCTTTCTCTCCGTCACACTCGCTCTCACACATTCTCCCATTCTCTCCGTCTCTCTCCCTTTTGTCTCTTGTACTCTTTTTCTACATACACGCGTGTACACGCATTCTTTCGTTCTCTTTCTTACCCTTTCTCTCCTACCGCCTAACAAGAGCTACCGAGCTACACGAGCTTACCATTTCAAACCGAGGCTCTCCTTCTCCTTCCGTCTTTATATTCGCATCCAAAAAAATCTCCGACATGATCGACTAGGTTGTTGCTGTTTGTAATGGTGCTCGCAACTACCAAATAATTAGGGTTCGGGACGGACAGTCACTTACCTTGCTGCTCTTGATTTAGCTCCGTGTTTCCGGCATGAGATGGTCCTGGCATTCCACCTTCCAAAGATCCGCTGCCCCCACCTCCGCCGCCACCTCCCCCTCCTCCTGATCCACCGCCTACAAAAATTTATATCCACTTAGAAATATAAATCCTACTTCTTTACTGTAATTGTTAACAGTTTATTAGATTTTATCGATGAGTATGCGATACAATATCCATCGCAATTACCTTGATAAGAAGGTGGATAAGATGGTAAAACTTCCATGCCACCATCAAGGCTAAGAAAACCACTTGGCAGTGTGTTGACCTCCTGCTTTGGAGAACAATCATCGTCGCTTCCATACTCTGGTAATTCTATTTTTGGCTAAAGAGAGAAACGCGAAAATTATATAATCATTGTTTCCTGACATCTCGTGTTGTATAATACGTATATTGTAAAAAAAGTTACCTCAACAATATCGAGATCTTTGTAACAGTCAAGTTGAACCTGTGGCTCAATTAATGGCCGTGTGCGTGGCGTTCCAGTTGCACAGGCCGCCGCAGCTGGTACTGGACTAGATATTTGAGGCGAATCACTTCGTTTGCACAGCCTTTTTAACGGTGGAGGACTTGTGGTTGGTGGTGTTTTGCTACGGTCCTCCTCCAAGTTTGGTGAGATCAGCCCACGGCCGTTTGATGCGTGTATGCTGTTTGTTTTCAAATGCTAGAACCGACCAAAAATGTTTAGTTGCATTATTGAATTTCAATTAGCTGTGGTTCAGTTCAGATGGATTAATTCTGTGAAAACAAACCTTTTCGTTGTTGTGCTGATTATTTTGGGAGTCGGTGAGGCCACGGATTTGCAGAGATTCTGCGGTTCTTAGAAATGTAGGCAATTCTGCTTGAGATATGTTAACCTCTCCAGCATACATAAACTCCAGAAGCGATTGCAGGTGTTCAAATTCCACATCACGCATAAATATTATCGGATGTTTGCATGGATTTGTCTTTAAATATAAAAATAACCACAATTTCATTTTATTTGTCACAAATGAGACGTTCGTTGGGCTATGATTCGCAAGATCAAATGATAAATCCACTTGTTATCAAACATATGTTAAATAGCAGTTTGTTATACAATGTTTGATAATTAAAGTTGCAATAATAATAACTGAGGCTGACTTTAATGCTAAAATACAGAAACTATAAGAATAAAAAGAATACTCTTAAATCAATGATTAGACTTCAGAGATTCAATTTTCTATAGAAGTAGATAAGTTCATTATTGTGTTTCTTAATATGAAAAAATCCCATTGAAGTACAAGAGTAGATAATTCCTGTTTCTTAACAACCGAACAATTACTTACAAAATTATATAATTGCACTTAATATGTCTCAAGCTGTTAATGAAAATATGAAATATAATTCTTCATATTATTTATTTTGCAAACTTAAAACTATGAGTGGATATTTATAATTACTTTTTAATTTGATCTTATACTCTTGTACGCTAAATCTATTTCATAACTATCACAAATACACTGACTATAAATATTAAAACCTTAAGATATATACGAGTCACTTGTATTGAAAAGCTATGTTCCAATTAAGACTTTTATTTTATAGTTTTCATATTATAATTCTCAATACGTATAAAAATAACGCATCGGGATTGAATAATATTAAATAAAATTAAATAAAGCCAGCTGCATTTGAATCAGAAAGAGCAGTGATTATTGACAAATAAATAGCAGCTAGGCAAAAGAGTTAACGTGCAAATGGTGTATGGTGATATATAGGAACATTACGACATACTGTCACAAAATATGCATGAGGATTAACGAACAAGAAATGTATTTCGGTTATGTCTAAGGCGAAGCATGATTGTCAAAGAAGGTAAGAAGGATCAGGTAAGGGGAAGGGAAGAGGGTGGGGAGGGGAAAGACGAAGCTCGAGCAACGAGCACTGAGAGAAGCAAGGCGGGGAAGGTTTCTAACCTTGAATAACTCCTTGAAGTAAGGGCTGCACGCGGAGAGGACAACCTTGTGCGCCTGGAGACGTCTACCGTCGCAGGCGAAGGTGACATCGACGAAGTCCTCGTCATCCCTGAGGGCCTCGAATTGGCTGGTGATATTAGCTTGAAAGTTGTTCCAACGCAAGCAAAACTGCTGCTGGCTATCCGTCATTCTCCTCGTTCGACTCCCTTCGACCACCTCTCTCTCCCTCGCTCTTAACCCGAGAGCCCCCCACCACCCACCCTCTGTCCGTCTCTCTCTCACTTTCACCTTCTTCTACTTCTGTCTTTTTTCCTCTTTTTCTTTCTTACTGACTGCACCGTTGTCCCTTCCTCGTGCACACTTTGACTTCTCAAGTGTATCTTTCTCTGTCTTTCGTTCTCTCTTTATTTCTTGCAGAAGACACTTTAGAAATTTTCGAATGATATTGAATATGAAAGATTCATCGAGACGAAGAGGGTGAGGGTGGTTCCGCAGGTCAGGCCTGTTTTACTGCACCCTCGTGTTACTGGTTTGAGATGAGGCTCTCATTACTCTGGAAAAAAAATGGCAGGTGCAAAAAGTGCAATCGATGACTGAAGAGGAGGTGTGTACGTGGGGAGAATCGATAGACGGCTTACCAACATTAAGAGATAAATAAAGTACATATAGTACTTTTTCTGGACATTTCATTTCATAAACATCGATATCGTATTTATTCGGATTTGACGACCATACGAAAATTCAAAATTATGCTTAGTTACGATTCAACCGATGCAGTGCAAAAGTATTTTTTGTTTCTTTTAAAAGCTCTCTTAATCGTATTAAGTTACTAGCAACGCACCTAGAGATTTCACATGTTCTCTTTACTTCTTTCTGTTCTTCCAATAAAATTGTATTATTCTATCTCTCTCGCAGTCTAATCTTTCCTGCTAGCTTTGAGTGTTAAAACTTTTAAATATAGCTGATAGAATTGATACGTAAGGGATTGAACGAGAAATGCATATTTTATAATGTTCTGTATAATTTTTCATTGTGCAAAAAGCATTTGATTGGTTTTAATTGCTTTCTAGTAAATTTTTCATTGAATTTGTAACTTTTTTCAACGGATTTCTTAAAATAATTCTGTGCTAATCATTTTACATTAGATTTCCAACAGTTCATAGGTCGTATTATATAATGAACTACAGGAAATATATATATAAATATAAAATGGTATTCGTGCACATATCATTGTACTTAGTAAATACAATAAATATTTAAAAAAAAAAATAGTTTCTTTGACATCTTAAATAATATTTACAAATTACAATTATGTGATAATCTGTAAACAATCTTTCCTAAGCGCTGCATCCGTAACATAATCATTTGCACGTGCGTTTGAAAAACGTAAACCTTGAACTTCCGATTGTGAGAGAAAAAGACGAAGAACATTAATTATTCCCGTGACTTAAGATAGTTGTTCTAATTCCCGTCATGGTCTAATTTAAACTGAATTTTACCACCCGTTATATGAATATCTTTGTAGCAGAATAGCTTCGGACAGCTTCGGGCTGTCATGGACGCCCGAATTTTGTTCGTAAAGTAATTCTGTTTAAAATTTCCCTCTTATAACCTATCGCGATAGATGTGAACGATTTTGTAAAGAATAGAACGCATGATAACTCCGGAGAACTGACAGTTATGTGACGCAAGCGAAAATGTCAGAAAGACAGGTGAGATTAACGCTCCTGTTTCTCATTACATTTCCTTGTTCCTTCGATTTGTTATTCCTCATTTTCTAATATTTCGTCACTGAACATTTGTCGGAGCGAACTAAACTCATTGAAAAATAGAATCTGGCAAAACGTTTTCGACTATTGTTTTTAACCTCGTTTTGAAAGGTTACTGCGGACGACTCAATCGATACATTGTCCTCGAATTTTGTTTTCCTGAGAAACAATAAGTGTAACAAACTGCTTCTCGATTAATCCAAGTGTCCCTTATCATTTCTAAATGATTTTTCTCAGTATCGATACGCTTTAATTTTTCTATTTCGAAAGATACGCTAGTGAACGAGAAATAACTGTAACCTTCATTAGGTTAACCTTTCTTTCAAATGCGCTTTTTAAATTTGTTTTGAATTAACAGTACTTTATTTTACATTCTTTGTTTGTGCCTCTAAATCGTGGATTACGAGATAAAATCAACCAATTTATACCGAATTGAGTTTGTACTCTTTGACATGACACTGTATAAATTCCACTTGTTAAGTTTCAAACAAAACGTGTACCTCGAAATATTTTTAAAACATAGAGATTGACAGAAATAGAAGTTCCTTATATTCTTATCAAATTTGAGTGACATACAG